TAAAATTTCTGTGGCACACTAAATAAAAATTTTAGTGATTAATTATAACAATTGTACAGTGATAAATAATTATTATATCCTTTTGATTTTTGCTCTAAAAGCTATATCCAATATTATACATTCTGAGGGTGATAAAAACAAAATTTCTAACCTCTATACTTCTTATTATTCTGTATCACAGTCTTTATACATATTTCAGTTGTCATCCTCTTCATCAGAAGAAATAATCAGACTCGCATAAATCTTCCATTAAACTATCTTTTTTCCAATAGTCACTATCTATGTGAGTGCAGTAACTCAGTTTTCTGTAAATATGTTACTGTCATTCCATTTTTCAAGAGTTTTTTATGTAATTTTTAATAATTTATTCATTGCCATGTCTCTAACTCTGTTGCAATTCCATAGGAGTTGCTTTATATCACTCCAAATGAATTCAGTTGCACTAATGTTGCAGTGGTACAAGGTAGACATAAAGCCATAAATTCCATAGGTTCGAGCAGTGCCTAATTTTGTTAATATTTGCATTTAATTTTGTTTTACATCAATATATGGTACATTACTAAATTTATGCACATAAATACCATGTGCATTAATTATTAATTTTATTTTCAATGTATTAAAAATACTTTGGATAAGTAAATATTTGCCTTCACTACTCAGGACTTTCTCAGAATAAAAGTGTAAGAGAGTTAAATGAGTTAAAGAATGTAAATTCAATATTTGCAATTAAATGCTATTGTATTTTACATCCGAACTGAATTACAAATAATACAATAACTTGAATAATATATTATAATATGAATTAAAGTCAGTTTAGTGCTCCTTTGAAATGGTGTAACCATGCAACATGCACAGTTTTCTTGGCAAAATCTCCCAGTTTTAAAGCGTTCAAAGTTGGCAGCTATGTTGTACATTTTTTAGCTTTTAAAATCTTCATAAATGAAATAATAATAATATATAAAAAGGATGTACACAACAAATCTGATGTCAAAGATGGATCTTTTATCCTTGAAGAATTTCTTCACACACACACACACAAACACCCAAAAATAATAATAATAATAATAATAATAATAATAAATAAGATATACATTTTTAAATTAAGTACAGAAGTATCATTCTAAAAATGTTTCGGTGCTAGTAGTATTATATTTCACCATTTGCAATTTGAATTTTAAAGCTTGATGATTTGCAATAACTTTGACAGCAAAATATCCAATAATTATCTCTAAAACTAGAAACACCATCATTATCATATCAGTTACTATTTCCCAAGGTAAAATTAAAAAGTCTTTGCTGAATGTACACAAACAGTGTAGTGGAAATTGTAGGAACAATGTTAGCATCCAAAATCCTGCTAGTTCAGGTACCTGAAATAAAGTTTTCATTATTAAGTTTCATTGTATACAAGTCTTACTTTTATAAAATGTTCAAAATTCCTACTTTTAACAAAATTACAGATGGTATCAATGGTGTTCATAAAATATGAAATTCCATTTGTATTATATGAAGATTCAAATAATGTGTGCATGAAACCATTTTATTGAAATGTTTTTAAAATGTAAATTAGTATTTTATGCTTATTAATGTGTCATCTAAAAAAATAAGTTGCTAGAATGAAGAGAGTGTTAGAAGATACATTTTTGATTCATTTTAACTGTCTATTTAAATGTTTTATTAAATTAATTATAATTTTTAAAAAATTGGAAAAATGTGATGCCATATTATGTATACACAACCATATTCTGTATATATAATAATATTAGAAGTGAATTTATATTCAAGGCTTAATTTCTAGAATTAGAAGTGCTTATGACAGGCCATTAGGAAAGAAGAAAAAATAATTATTTTATCTAAAGAAATACAGACGGTTTCGTAGGCTCCACTATTCAGCCTGTGAATCTACATATAATTATATTTCAGGCAAATCATACAAGTCAATCTTTTTATAATTCAGGTATAATAATACAAGTCAAATCACTTTTTCCAGCAAACCAGAAATAAATAAACAGTTAAAGATCTAATGAAAGTGGAAAGAAAAGTAGGAGAGATTATTTTATTTATTTACTTCATTGAATTTTATTTTAAAAAGCATTGTGCAGTTTAAAACAAATATATCTATTAATACATATTCTTTTAATTTTGAAAAAAAATTAATGTATTATGTTTGTTACCACAAAATTTTTATTTCAAATAAAATTTTTAGTCACATAGCTAAAATAAACATGTAAACTTTTTATTTTTATAACAATTTAAAAAAAATATTAATACAATATATACAATCCATTTCTCTAAAGCTAAAATATATTAACGATTTTATTTGCATCTGATAATAAAATTCCTGGCGAAAACTTACTCTCTCTCTCTAATCTGTATATGAAAACTACATAAGGGAATCCCCCCCTCCAAAAAAAAGGTACGAGCATCAGCATTTTGAAAGGTCAAGGCATTACTATTGAAGATAGTAGATATGTCACTGGTTGTCAAACAGCGGTTGTGTGGGTAGGAAGAGTAACTTCGCAGATTTGTCAGAGCAAATGATGTTTAAAAAAGTGATCTCGCTTTGAGGTGTGAGCCATGATTCGTTGTCCTGATTGAGTATTTGGAGTATGGCCATACCATTCAGCCTGGCGAGTGATGGTGATGGTGTCATCCTCACCAATGCCAAACCATGCTTGCCAAACTCAAGAATTGCTGCTAAAGTTTAGGTGGAAAGTCTGGAGTCACCCTTCCCCATTTAGTACCCAGCAACTATTTTCCTTTTCCAAAATTCAAGGAGCATTATCTGGAATGAGAATCTCTTCAGATAGTGATGTGAAACAGCTACTGAGAACTGGCTAAATTTGAAGGGATGTGATTTCTACCAAGTTAGGTTAAACAAGCTGGTTCTGGCTTCAGATAAATGCCAAAATAGATTTGATGATTATGTTGAAAAATGATAGGCAAGTATGTGTGATATATTGAAAAATGATAGGCCCTTTTGTATTTCCTTTATTGTTCATAAACATTTTATTCCCCTTGTCTTTTTTGGAGGAGGATCTACTCTCTTACTTGGATTTAAAAAAAAAAAAAAAAAAAAGCAGCAAAGAACTGATGACAAAGATTGACTTTTATCCTTAAGATTTTTGAAAACACCCCACCAAAAAAATAAATAAATAATAAATAAATAAAATAAAAATTTCTTTTTACAGCAACCAATGAAATAAATAAAACAGTTTAAGCATCAAAATGAAAGTGGAAGTAACAGTGGGAGATTGGTTTTATTATTTCTCTTGAATTTTATTTTAAAAACATTGTCAGTTTAAAAAACAAATATATTATTACTAAAATATATCTTTAATTTTTGACAAAAAACATTAATTGTTATTGTAAAACAAACAAATCAATTGCTATTTCAGATAAATTTTAGCCATAGCTAAAATAAACATGTAAATTTTTTTTATAACAATTTTAAAAAATTTAATACAATATATACAATCCCATTCTCAAAGCTAAAGCTAAATATTTAATTAATTTTTATTGACTCTGATAATAAAATAGTACCAATATGGTTATTAAATTACTCTTCTCTAACAGAGAAAAGAATTGCATTTGAGGGAACGGGGGAACAAACGGGGTTATATGAAAAAAAAAGTGAACTCCCGTAAAAAAAGGTCTACGACATTCGCATTGTTTAAGTTACAACCTAACTATTGTGAAAAATACAAGGTGAGATGTAGGATTGTCCGGTTGTCAAAGCCCCTGGTTCAAAAATGGGTAAAGGAAAGAGTAAACCCGCAGAGTATTTGTCAGCGAACAAAGATTTGTTAAAAAGCGTGATGATTTCTGCTTCTGATTCCGGGGTGAGAACAAAGGTGAGGAGGGGGGGGCGGGGGGGGCAAGGAAAGAGGAGGGAAATAGGAACGGGAGTGATGGCAAGACCATGAAGAAATTGGCGAGCAAGTTTGGCGATTGAGTGATGAGAAATTGGTTTTCAGTCGCAAATAATAAAGATGTGGGTTGGTCAGATGGTGATGGTTCATCCTCACCAATGCAAAAATGCTTGCCAAACTCAAGAATTGCTGCTAAAGTGTAGTGAAAAAAGTCTGGAGTCACCCTTCCCCATTAGTACCAGCAATATTTCCTTTCCAAATTCAAGGGCTTACTGGAATGAGAATCTCTTCAGATAGTGATGTGAAAGCTACTGAGAACTGGCTAAATTGAAGGGGATTGATTTCTACCAGTTAGGTTAACAAGTGTTCTGGTTCATAAATGCCAAAATAGATTTGATGATTATGTTGAAAAATGATAGGCAAGTATGTGTGATATACTGAAAAATGATAGGCCCTTTTGTATTTCCTGTCTATTGTTCGTAAACATTTTTTATTCCCCTTGTAATCTTTTTTGGGGAAAGATCTACCCTCGTACTTTTGGATTTAAAAAAAAAATTGCACAAAGAACTAGTTTTAATTCAGATGTGCACAACATACAGCCTGTAGGCCACATGCGGTCTGCTAGATGATTTTCTGCAGCCTATCACTGATCATTTAATAATGAAGCTTACACCCAGAAAAGAAATTGATTAAAACTATAAAACATGTTTTATTGAGTATATTTTGGTTATTTCAAACAAAATTTTTATTTGAAGGGGGAAAAAATGGATATTTTTTTGTTGTTAACAGTTTTATAAAATTTCAACAAAATTTCTCCAGTTTTACTTGAGTTAACAAAATCTTTTTTTTTAGAATACTTTTGTAATTGTAGCACAATTTTGCTGTTTTTTTAAAAAGTTGCATTGTTGTTTGATTCTACATAACTAGATATGGGATATATATATGTAAAAAAGTTATGCTGTAAAAAAAAGGAGGGAGCAAAAACGGTGATAAGTAAGACGAAATGGTGCTACTGCCAAAACATCTTTTCACGCTTTTCAAGTTTCGCTTCAACATGGGGCTTCTCTCATCAAAGTTGTGAAAGTAAGTTAAAGTATTTGGTACAATCTGATTACATGATTCAGATAAAATGATAAAATTTTCATTTTCTCATTTACATTTTGAATTGTGTGCTTATTTATCATAAACAAATTCTCTTTTCTGTTTCTTAAATGAAGTAAACTTGTGAATCATTGTTTGTAATTGTATAAATATTAATATTTAAGAAGCAAAATAATACATAATTTTTCAAGCTTTAATTACTTTTATATGTTAATATAAAGTATGTATCTTTGGGTTCGTATTTTTTAAACATAATAATAATAGTTATTCATAAAATATTTATTCTAAAGTGTGGTTCTCACCAATTTCAACATTTCATAAATGGCCATTCACAGATTTGAGTTGTGTACCTTCTGCTTTAATCAGTATTCTGTTGGTCATTATGTTCATCATGATTCCACTGTTAAAGAACTGATTTCCCCCTACAGAAATCATTTTGCTAATGGAATTTAACACTGTTATTTGAAATAAAGGTTTTACCTGAAAAAAGTTTTGCAGAGCACAAAGCAAATGCTAATCTGATGGTGCAAGCCATGGCTATATACTGGATGTGATAAAACATCCCTATCAAACTCAAATGTTTTCTAATGAGTGACTGAAAGTGTATTCAGTTTGGCAATGCCATGAAGAAACACAATATTTTTATGGTTCGATTCTGAATATTTCTGCTTTAAAACATCTTTCTTTAATTGTCGATAGTATACATTGAAATCAATCATTTTGCTACTTGTCCTCAAAGGGTTATGGGCGTAAAATTGTGCATAGAAGGTTAGCTTTCCAATTCGTTAAAAATGAAAATTTCTGCCAATCCTTGATGGATCCAATTTTGGGTTGGATCTATATTGAAAGAAAAGGAGTCAAGGCAGAGTCATTTTGGAATTATAATGAAGAAACTATCACTTATTCATGGCATTTTAGGGAAGCTAAGGTTTCAGGATCAAACCTGTAACACCCAAAGGGTTAGGTAAATATTGATTTATAACTTCTAATCTCATCTTTTTTTTTTTTTTTTTTTGAGTTAGCTCTTCAGGTTGGACTATAAACTTTCGTGTTCAGATTTTATGTACATGACATTTTTTCATTACTAGTTAACAAACATTTGAAAAACAAATCCACATATGCTAACATGTTATGTTAAATTAATTTTTGTTTATGTGGAATCCAGATATCTTCTTTTTTTTTTTTTTCCCTTTTCCTTTTTTGTCATTAGTGGTTATTTTGGATGAATTTAAACTTTCAGCAGGCTTATACATGTTTATGTAATGATCAGCTTCATTTTCAGTGGTTACCAGTGGAGAATCTTCTATGGGAAACTGGCTCATATACATGTGGAGAAAACCATAAAAACACACATGCAGTCATCCTGTTCATCTAGAATCAAATCATGTCAAAATGCCAGTGTTCAACAATTTTGCTGGTCAGCCTGACCAGCCATTTAAATGAATCTGTATTATTAAAATTGTAATTAATCACTGCTATACTGCCTTCACTGTGTATAGAATGTGGTTCTTTGGTCTTTATATTGACACAATCTAACAAATCAATATAAATTTTACTACGGAACAGGATGCAGTGTAGAAAGTTTTCAGCCTTTTGATTCATTAGTATTCATCAGCATATATAATTTCATTAATAAATTATAATCTGATAATTTTTTTTTTTTTTTCTATTTTTAACACTTTTCTGCTTGCATGTACAATTTACAGACTACACACCTCCGTTTCAGAAATTCACAGAAAAATAATCTTGTAATGTAATGGAATTTGCAATACTGAAAGAATATGAAAAATATGTAGTGACATCATTCAGGGTAGTGTAGTTCATGCTGCTCTTTCAAGCATTTTTCAGTAATCACAACACTTCTAGTAAAATGGCCACATCAGTTAAGGAATTCTGAGCATGGAAACAGAATGCTGTAATACTTACTATAAACATTTTTCAAATCTCATTTTGTGACATTTGGTTATTATCTCTAATCAGAATGGTTCTTTAGGGATAACATTTTCCAACAACTGAAGCTATTAGAGATGATGCAGCAACTAATCTATGACAGATATTGAAAGAGGCATTCTTTCAGTACTTCTAAGAATGTCAGGTATGCTGAAACAAGTATGTGTATTTCAGTAAATATTACTCAGAAGGTGACCTAGTAAATACGTTTCAGCATATCAAAAAAATTTGCTTTACAAATATTCTCCAGAAACTTTTTTTTAAAAAAGGGGCATATTTTTACTACAGGTGTAAGGTTCAATGAAAGTATAATCTAATTATCAAACTGATCTTGTACTTTTAAAGTATACTGATTGATTTCATTATTTATCTCTCCAGCTCTTGCCATGACATTTTCAGTATTACGTACAGATAACTAAATATCCAAGTTAGTGATACTGACTGATGTATAAAATGAAGTTTGTACTTAAGATGTTGATATGAAAAATTTATAACTTAAAAAAATTGCTATATAACTCTTAATTTTTCTTAATTAGAGAAAACATGCAGGTATTAACTAAATTGATATAACAAACAACATACCTTTTCTGTTAAATTTCCTGCATAACCCAAATATAATCGTGTCATTTCAACTACTATCATGACAACTAATACTGCTGTCAATAATATTTTATACAGTTGAGATAACTCAGAAAACTAAAAAAGAACAATATGCATATATATATTTAAAATTTGAGGTTTCAGTATGCTTTAATAATATATTTTAAAATCCATAGTTTATTAACTATGTTAAAATGATTTACACTACAAAATATATTTACAGTTAACAGTTCTTAATTTAATCTATTAATTAATTATTAATTTCTAAACTGTAGCAATCTGTATACTTAGTTCTGAAAAATTATATAAAATCCTCCCCAATGTAAAATTAAAAAAAAAAAAAAAAAAGATACAGTTATTTCAGTCAAAGAAGAAGAATGCTGCATTATTTATTTTTGTCAAAATAGAATTGTTTGTTATTGTAGTGTTTGATTTATTAAAACTAGAATTGTTTGTTATTGTAGTGTTTGATTCATTAAAACTAAGAATTGTATGTTATTGTAGTGTTTGATTCATTAAAACTAAGTGCGTAATGCTATTATATAATTTGAGCATTATTCACATTGTGATCAAAAAGATTTTTCAAAATGATAATGTCCATATGATTGTCTTACACTACTACAGCTTAACCATGAAGTTCTATACAATTATTTTATTTTATTTCCCTGTATAATAGCATGATTTTTCCTTTACTGAGTTCTTTAATTCATAGTTGGTCTAGGCTTATGTCTGAAGACTTTTTAATATACCTGGACCTCCTTAATATCCTGGTTAATTAATTATGGCTTCATGAAAGACTTTCTAAAGGAACCTGGCTCATATTAAACATTATATATTGGAAGAACCACAAAAGTGAGGGAAAAATGCAGGTAGCCCTATTCATTAGGAATCAAATCTAGGATTAATTACCAATAATTGGTGATCAAATCCACTGTACCGTGGGAGGTCCTTCTAGTTTGAAACTATTCATAAAGGTCTAAATTTTTAATTCATTACTATGGTTAGTTCTACACCTAAAATTTACTGTTATGATAAACATTTACAAATATTTTTAGTGACATGATTAATTTTATCATATTTATTTATCTTTAAATCTTACACTTTTCAACTATTATGTTCTATCAGGCTGCTAGATAAAGTTTAGAAATAAGGAAAATTTTAACACTCTTTACAATATGATTAAGATCAGAATAAATGTAGAAGTTATTGCCAGCCATAGCTAGTCCACATAATACTAGTATATTATTGTGTCCACTACAGATTGTATGAGGGACATGTTTTTAAAAATAGTCACGGTTAGTTCTGAGATAGAAATATACAATGCCTAGAGCTCTAAATATGTCATGGAGAACTGAAGTTCTCAGTAAAGAATTTGATGACTTTTCCTTGGCAATTTCTTTGAAAATGTTTTGCTAGTACATGTTAATGCTGAACTTAATACATGTTATTATAATTTTTTAAAAAAATCTGAAAGCTTTCAGATTTTAATGGTCACCCAAAAGGGTTTGTTAAAGATTTTTTGTGCTTTTGCTGAGCTTACAGTCTACTTAGCCTGCTGTTGCACTCACTCTTGCTAACCCAATTGTTTTCCCCTTTTAGCTTCATTATTAAGCATCACTTTCTTTACACTTACACCATATACAGTTTAACAGCAAAATCACAAAATTTTTATTTAACTTAACAAAATTTAGAATTCCCAATGCAGTATTAAGTATTGGCATACCATTTTTATATTTTTCACTCTTTTCTCAGTTCATCATACCAGTATTCAGTTTTCTTAATAAGATGGCTAGCAAAATGTTTTTTGTCTTTTTATTATAAACATTTTGTCTGTTAACTTTATTTATTAAATATCACTATCTTCGCATTTATGCCACATAAAATTCAATAAGACAGTCTCGTGCGTTGAAGGTAAAAATGCTTTATTCCGTACGGTGTTGTCACTGCTCGCTTTTAAATTTTTGAATTTGTTAATCAAAAGTTCATTAAAGTTTTTAAAAAATATGAAACAGATCATAAAACAAATTCAAAATTCAAGATTCCAGGTGCACAAGTTTGGATAGAGGACTACATTATTCAAAATTTGGTGGCTCTAGGTATCCCTTTTTTTTACATTGCAAAAATCATTCATATACTCATGTACATTCTTCATTATTTAATTTCTTTAAAAATAATACAGGGCAATGATATTTGGTGGCAACAATTTGAAAAGCGATATGCCATTTACAGTTATTCAAAGCAAAATCCCATTTCGAGACTGATAGCCCATTTGGGTTAATGCTCCTTTTGGACTAAAAATTAACTAGAGAATATTATTGAAAATAAATCAGGTTTAGCTAGACTGCTTTTGATAATAATGTAAGTAAGTCTCTTTTCCAAAAGAGAGTGAAGAACAATCTGGCAGTCGTCTGTTAGTCTAAAGTTAACAACATTTGATTCTATTTTTCTGCCAATTACCCATCACCTAAAGAAAGAGCAGCCACTTTACCACCATAATACCATAAAATTTATTAAGAGCTCTGCTGAATTAAAATATTTTGAAAGAATGCTCCAGTATTCCTGAGCCATCCATCTATACATGCAGTCAATAGTAAAAACAAACATCCTGAGCTCTATCTGTATCTATAGAAAACTTTTAGTTAATGGGAAGAATTTAGATCTGAAATTTGACTGCACTGATATGTTTGTGACAGATCATTGATTTAATTAGGGTACTTCTGATATGGACAAGCATGTCTTCTGCCAAATCCAAAAAAAGGATTTTCTAACTTTTTAATCTAAATTGAGCATATGTATATATTTATATGTATGTATGCATACAAGGTGAATTACCTAAAACTTGCATCATGGTTATTTCTGAAATAAAAGTTGCTACTAGTGGCTCTGAAATAAAAGTTGCTACTAGTTCAGATTAACTGGAGTTACATGACTTTGTTTGGGTGAGCATTACTTATGATTATTTTAAGAGTACTGTTGTGAACAATTTTGAATTTTTTCCAGATGGTCTCAAATGCTGTAGACAATGGTTCAGCTCCATATTCAATAGCAAGTCTTGTGAAGCATGCCCTTTCCCCCAATATAATTTAATAATAATATATTTTAAAAGTTTAATATCATATTTTTAAAGGTATCCATCCCCACAATCTTATACCTGCTCCAAACTTAGTTATTAATCCAAAGTGATTTCTACATATGTAGCATTTTCAGGTTTATTTAGCTTGTGCACTTTAAATAAACGTGAAACATCTTTAGATTTTGTATTCAATGTAAAAAGTTGATAACTTGTATTATATGTAAATTATTTCATTCTCTTTTGGTCATAATAGAAGATTGCCAAGAATTTTATTAAGAGAGCCATAGCACAGAGCCAAGTTTACATAATGGGAAACATTCAACCACAAACACAACTGAATATCATTGGTCCAAGAAAAATTTTATCCATTTCTACATATTCTCAAACTTATAGACATTTTAAAAAGACTGCTTTTTTAAACATAATCAAAGCCATTTTGAAAGTCAAGAGCCATCAAGATCTGTTTATGCTGGAAGCCATTGTAATTAATTTAATGGCCATATTATTTCTTTTCTTTTTTTTTTTTTTTTTGCAACCCACTTGTCTATCAAAAATGCAATCTATACAAAAATGAATCTATTACAATTAATCATTCTGCTAATTTATATAAAGTAATGATGAGGGAGGAATGTGTGTAATCTGGTAGTGCATCATGAAAATGTAAATTAATTATATTTTGATTCAAAGATAATCCATGATATTCTTTTTGTTAAAAATATTTTTGAAAATTTATATAATTAGATATTTTTCTGCAGCACACTTCATGTTAAGTATTTAAATATAGTATATTTTACAAATAAAAAAAAAAAAAAAAAAGAATAATAAAATGAATACTGCATTAAACTAACCTTATAAATAAGGCAACCCATACGAATACCTATCCAAAGAGGAGAGTAACTTGCATTGAAGTATAGGCACATTTGTAAAGGCAGACTTGACATAACTTCTTCTAAATAAAAGAAATGCAGAGACTGTTTTAGTACTTCATATATAGAAAACAAGATCATATGAGCAAATTTTATTTTATTGTTAATGATGACTAAGCTATAATTAAAATTCCAAATATCTAGATTAGATGGCTTTCTGTGGCTGCAGCCTGAATAAATAGACTGCCCTTTTCTATTTTGATGGCCCTAGTTTTCATTTATTGCATTTTATTTCTTGTACACATAAAGATGTTTTAAAACTTAAAATCTTAAACTTTAAAAATAAATAAATAAATAAAACCTTATTTCATTAAAATGAAATACAAAATATACTTTTTCCCACAAAATTATACAAGCCATTTTTATTCGACTAAAATTTAGTTTTATTTCTGCTATTCCTAAACTTTTTTTCCCTCTCTTTTAACTGTACTGAAAGTAAAGTTTAAAAAAAATGACATAAATGTTGTACATTATGAGATGAAAATTTCTGATGTGCAGAGAGTGTTCATGTTTGTTTAGTGTTATTTTGAAAAAAGGAGAAGTCAAATCTCTAAAGTAAACATTTTATCAAAAGAGAAATAAAATAATTTCTAACTTAATTATAAACTGTGAACAAATGTTCTGTCAGATAAAATCCCTGCTAATTTAAATATACAAATAAAGTTATTTACATTAATAATAATTATGAACAAATCATTTCAGGTTTAATCCTAGTATCCAGTGCACACGAGATTTGGCTACTTTATGATGAGCAGTAAACGGGTCATTTTGGTGGTGGCGATAATGTTCAAAATCGCAGCAAGGTTGCACTGTATAGTACTAAAATTTTACCATTGTTTCATACAAAGCCTTCGCTAATTTAATAAAAATAAATTACATTCAATTATTTAGAATGACACTCAGTAAGGTGACCAGATTTTAACACTGGTAAAGTGGGACACCATTCACTGGGAGGGGGAGTGTTTAAACATTTAGTCTATACAGAGAGCAACACAAATTTTCATAGAACAAAAAATAGTATTGCTATATATTTTCAAAATTTCAACACAAGTGCAATTTACAAATACATTAAAAGAAATTATGTATAGTATTATTTTATTCTTTGTCATATTTCTCGTTTGAGTGAATTTTGTTTAGTAGATTGCTGTCGTTGTTTGAAAGGTCATAAAATTTTTACAAGAATTTTTTAAATTATATTTCACACATAAAATGGCTTTTAAAGTCTCAACACTTAATTGTGATTTTTCTGATGTCCGCACTTTATTTACCATAGAAAAAAAGGGTTGATCTTTACAATATGGTAACTGGTAGTTTGGCGACATTTTGGAGGCGATAAAGGTTACTACCTGGGACTTTGGTAATAATGTGAGCAGTACTCAGTTCCGATTACGCATTATTTTGCGTGAGGGAAATGAGAGATCATGGGATATGTCATGTGATATTAACGGAAGAATTACGGTTCTTTAATCGGAAAAGGGGGGAAATCGGGAAAAAATCTGGAAGTTTTGTATTTGGCTTTATTCTGTGTTGTGTGAAACAGTGTTCGTGAATTTTTGGATCCCATGGCCGTAACTAAAGTGAATTCGAAATGGGTATTTATGTATGTATTAATTTAATTTATGTGCTCATTTATATTTTAAGTAGTGTTTTTGAATTTAATTATATTTTAATTAAATGATAGTTATTTGTGAATTTATGTTTGTAGGAATTTGGTATACGTTTTAGTTGAAGTAAACGTGCATGGAAATAATTTAAATATCTGACACTAAGTATTTGTAATGGTTTGCGGTATGAATTCGTTGGTGATGTGTATAATGTAATAGATGATTTAGAGGTAAAAGTTTTTGGATATTTTATTTATTTTATATGTGGAAATGTTCATATTTGGAAAGGGTAAATACTTTTTCGCGATCAGGTAATTTCATATATGTTCTTTTTACCGGGTTTTAAAGATTGAAAAATTGTCATGTATTTTCGTGAAATTTTTCTAATTTATGAGAAAAAAGCAGTGTACATGGATATAGTGAAGAGTGTGCGCAATGCCATTTTTGTGCAATTCTGGAGGTTTTTTTAAGTAAAATAAGTCAACGTGTACATGGTTTAGTGATATTTTAATTAATGATAGTTATTTTGTGAATTTTATGTTTGTAGGAATTTGGTACACGTTTAAGTTGAAGTAAACGTGCATGGAAATAATTTAAATTTTTGATACTAAGTATTTGTAATGCTTGCGGTATGAATTCGTTGGTGACGTGTATAATGTAATAGATGATTTAGAGGTTTTTGGATATTTTATTTATTTTATATGTGGAAATGTTTCATATTTGGAAAGGGTAAATACTTTTTCGCGATCAGGTAATTCATATATGTTCTTTTTAACGGGTTTAAAGATTGAGAAAATTGTCATGTATTTTCGTGAAATTTTTCTAATTTATGAGAAAAAAGCAGTGTACATGGATATAGTGAAGAGTGTGCGCAATGCCATTTTTTGTGCAATTCTGGGATGTTTTTTTAAGTAAAAATAAGTCGACGTGTACATGGTTTAGTGATATTTTAATTAAATGATAGTTATTTTGTGAATTTTTATGTTTGTAGGAATTTGGTACACGTTTAAGTTGAAGTAAACGTGCATGGAAATAATTTAAATTTTTTTGATACTAAGTATTTGTAATGCTTGCGGTATGAATTCGTTGGTGACGTGTATAATGTAATAGATGATTTAGAGGTTTTTGGATATTTTATTTATTTTATATGTGGAAATGTTCATATTTGGGAAAGGGTAAATACTTTTTTGCGATCAGGTAATTTCATATATGTTCTTTTACCGGGTTTAAAGATTGAGAAAATTGTCATGTATTTTGTGAAATTTTTCTAATTTATGAGAAAAAAGCAGTGTACATGGATATAGTGAAGAGTGTGAGCAATGCCATTTTTGTGCAATTCTGGGAATGTTTTTTTAAGTAAAAATAAGTCGGCGTGTACATGGTTTATGTGTATGTGTTATTTTGAAAAACGCGTAAGGAGTATGGTATTGTGCACTTTTTCCCAATTTTGCAGTGAATATTTGTCATGATTAAGCAGTTTTGTTAGATAAAATTTCTAGCATAAGTGTAATTCCGCTAGTAGATTGTTGGAAGAAGTGTTCAGTAGATAAAAAGAAAAGAAACATGTCTTTACTTCATGAAGACAAAATGGCGGCAGGAAAAAAAAATAGAGGGTTGCTGTAGGAGAGTTGGTCGCCAAATTTTCGCCAAAAAAACGCCAAGTTACCATAATGTAAAGATCAACCAAAAAAAGCGCTCAGTCACAGCTTTAGTTCGTGGGGTATTCCACAGTTTTTAGTACATTATTGTATGGAACATTATTGTATGGTTTGTTTCAAAATGATGAAATATTTCTAACCATTTGTTTTCTCTTGTGATTTTCGCTGATGTCCAAGATTTAATCTTTTCCTTATTAATATATTTTTAATAATGATGTCTAATTAAAAAAATCATTTACAGAAATATTACTATATGGGAAATTTTGACTAATATGATCAAATGATTTTTGTACATTCCAATTAAGTTCTTGTTTTAATATATTCCCTAGCTTGTCGTGCATTCTTCCTAAAAATCGGGACTTTCTTTAAAAAGTTGCGGGACAAACTGTTAAAAATCAGGACGTCTGGTTACCTTACACTCAGTGTTGTTAAGCATCATAAAACCATTTTGCACTCAGCTAGTGCACTGCTAAAGGGGAGGATTATATTTATTCTATAAAAGGGTGTTTATGATTTATTTTAAACTTATTCAAACACGTGAGAAATTATTACCTGTCTTACGGGAAATCCTTCTTCCATAGGTGATATTAATACCAGGAAATATTATTTCAGATGCTCTTAACACAGCAAATTTAATGGAATCCATTTCAACTTTGAAATCATTATAAAATTAAGGGTGAGAGATTAATTTTCAAATAACATATTTATCTAATGCTTACTGTACATCTACATATAGTCATTTACTTGCCCAAGAAATTTTCATGTATTAAGAAAACATATATATCAGAAAAAGGTCTGCATATGAAATACGTTAGAAAAATTAATATTTACATTAGCAATTAGTTTATGGAACGTAATGAAGTAAAGCTACTCAACATAAGAGATTAGAAGTTTAAAGGTGGTATTACAAGACTTTGCACATAAACAAATAAAGCTATTTAGTGCACCATACATACTAGTCTTTCCCCTGGCAACGTAGACAGATATCTTGTTTTGAGCCCGCAGAACGGAAAGTAAAGTTTAGGCGTGAAGTAAAGTATTTATCTAATGCTTGACAGATTTAAGACGCACCCTTATATAGACGGCCATACACAAGGAAAAAAAGTTTCAATAGCGTGGTTTCTTTTAGTTCTCACGTTTCGTAAAAGCCAAATAAACAATTATTGAATGCAATTACCTTCACGTATAAGACGCAGGTAACTTTTTTGAGACCAAATTTAGGAAAAAAAAGTTCGTCTTATAAGCCGTCAAATACGGTATTTGTATTTCAGGTAGGTAGTCAGTGGCGTAGCTAGGGTGGGGCAAGGGGGGACATCTGTCCCCGGGCGCAGCATTCAGGGGGCGCCAAATTGATGTTACGAACTTTTAGAATGAAATTTTTCCGTTCTTGGCACAGAGAAAGGGCAAGGCCAACTAGATATCGGGAGCGACTAAATTTCAACTCGGCAGGAAAATTTGATTGGTCAACGGTACACGTCACATGTGACGTCAAAAGCGGGGTGTTTTAGATTTACCCCACAGGATTACCTGCCATTTTCGGTTGCTTGTTTTCTGAGCTCTGCAGTGATATTTTTTGGCGAGCTAAAAGAATTTTTTGATAAAATATTTTAATTGGTAATTTAGATATTGTTTGCTTGTAATTAAACACGTGATTACAAATTATTGTAAAGTATTTTATTTTTGAGACAAACTTTTTGTAATCTATTTATTTTTCATATATTGCCTTTTGAGAACAGATAAATTTAGCTGAAATTTCCTTTGTTGAACAAAAAAATGAAAAATGTTTCAGAATAGCAAACCGTGTTAGTTTCAGTCAAACATTAAATATAATTTATACCATTTTTTGTGTCAAACATTAAATTTTTATATAATGCTATTTTTTGTTCAACATTAATATCATATGCTACCATTTTTTTGTGTCAAACATTAAATATTTTAATCATATGCTACAGTTTTTATTCATTTTTTAATATTTCTGATGACAAAATAAGTTTTTTATTTTCTATTGTAGTACATAACTTTTTGTTATATAACAATGGAATATGAAAAGATAGCAGTATTTGAATGTATGTACTGCTGCAAAAAGTACAAAAAGAAAAAGGTTTTATATGAACACATTCGGGAAGTACATAAAGTACCTGTTGTGGCTGAAGGAAATTTGAAATGTCCTATTAATGCCTGCAATTTTTCATGTAGAACGTTTGAAGAGTTAAGAAATCACGCAAGAGATCAACATGGATACACTCTTAACTCCGTTGAAATGACATTTAATACATATGAAGGTAAGATATTAGAAATTTGCATTTTCTGCGATAAACCCCAAACTGAGTACAAATTACTATTTTTGCAAATTCATTCATCAAGTTGGGGAATAAAATACATCTATTTTTGTGAGTATAATTGATAACAGAATAATTTCCTTAGCATCTTGCTTTTTTCTGTTAGCCTGATAAACCCCCATTATTCTTCAGTAAAAATATTTCAAATAATAATTATATTAATAATATTAAGATTAAGTAATATTTCTCTTCCTCAACTATTTGAAATATGAAGTAAACATTTTCTAAATAATAAAAACATATATAGAGATGTACTGCTACATAATTATTTATACATGTAATTCAGTGCTTCATTAAAAAAAAAAAGACTATCCTGTTATTACACAAACGGATCTCTTAATGCATATGTATGATGAAGATATCAAAAATAATGTGGACCTAATAAAAAAATTGTTAAAATCTTTATTAAAGTGGCAACCTTCAATCGTAAGTTTAGTATCATAATGATAGACACTTATTATATGTAAATGAGGCTTAAAATTTATTATATGTTATTTTAAAACTACTTAAAGAAATTTATTCAATGTCTTAAAATTTTAATAACCTATACACATTGTATCAGTTATCAAGAAACAGGCTACAATGTTTTTTTACTTTAGACTTATGTTATGGATATAGGCCAGATGACACTCATGTTATGGAAAATGTCTGATGACAATTTGTCTCTTAAGAATAAATTTCTTGCATTATTATACAACTTTGGGGAATATGTTTTAAGTCTAGTTTAGCTGGAACACGAGTACTAGTAACTGTCAAATAGGAAGAAAAATATGCCAATGTACAACTTAAAACAGAGTCGTAGCTAGGGTTTTCAGCGCCCAGGGACAACTGAAGGTTTTCGCACCCTCTACTGCTTGCCAATGGATGGAAAACATTTAATTCTAAAATGTCGTAAACATCAGTTTGGTGCCCCTTGGATTCTGCGCCCGGGGACAGATGCCCTCCTCTATAGCTACGCCCCTGACTTAAAATTAGGCAACTTTATTTCAGTGTAGATTTTAAATAAAACTATCAGTTTTGAGAGCAATTAGACACAGGTCCCTCTTCTTGAAGAGAAAAAAATTCTGCTAAAGTGACCAGTATCTATTTACAATCAGTGCCAAAATAAGATTTTGGTTAGTTTTAAATTAGTAATTTTGTTTTAAAGATTAACTAGTTCACAATTATAATGGGCTTTTATATTGTATGTAGGCTAATGTTTACCCTTCAAATTTAGATTTCTTACAATGGAAAAGTGAGGAAGAACGAAGGGAAAAAATTTCTTACTTTTTGAGAAGTACAATAACTCTTAAAGAAGGTGGGAAAAAGAGTTACTTCCTTTGTAATTGATCTGGATTTTATAATTCTAAAAGTAAAGGTGTAAGAGCTATAAAATCACAAGGTACCTGCAAAATAGAGGGGCACTGTCCATCTACTATTGAAGTTACCAGTAATGGCATTATTAAGATTTTATATTTCCAAACACACGTGGGACACACAGTAGATCTAGAACATTTGCCATTAACAAAAGATTTGCGAGAAGTGATTGCAGGTAAGTTTCTTTATGAACTTGATTGTGAAATTCAATATAAAACAGACATTATTATACAACATTATCATATAAATGCAATATTTTCAGGTAAGTTAAATGAAGGCATTCCACCACAGAAAATATTAGATTCCACAAGGAATAGTATTAAAGAAGACATTTACAGGGAGCATTTATTGACAAAAAAAGACATACATAACATTTCTAATTCTTACTGTATTGGTAATGATGAACAATATCATCCAACTGATGCTGTCAGTTTAAGGATCTGGATAGAAAAAAATGAAATGTTTAGATGATAATCCAGTTCTTTTTGTAAAATTCCAAGGAGAAGCAGCAGATCAGCACTTGGAAATTAGTGACTTCTGCATCATCATAATGACAAATGTTCAAAAGCATATGCTTTTAAAGTTTGGATCCGATAGCATATGCATCGATAGCACACATGGGACTAATGCTTACGATTTTCAATTATCGACAGTTTTAGTCATAGACGAGTTTAATTCAGGATTTCCTGCTGCTTTTTGCCTAAGCAATAGAGTAAATTTAGGTTCAATGCAAAAATTTTTTCAGTGTATTAGGGACAAAGTTGGACTGCTGTCTGTAAACTGCTTTATGAGTGATGATGCACCAGTATATTATACTGCATGGACATCAGTAATGTGTGATGCCAAATTTAGGATTCTATGCACCTGGCACGTTAAAAAGGCATGGCTGCAAGCAGCAAATTCAATTATCCCCTCAAAGCGAAAGGAAGTTTTGAAATTTTTAAATGTAGTATCTGAATGTCATGATATAAAAGAATTTGAAGCACTGATATCTGATTTCCTCAGCAAACTCTTTGCTGATAGAGATACAGACAAGTTTGCTAATTATTTTTGCTTCAAATTATGCAAACAGATGCGAGTTGTGGGCTAAATGTTATAGAAAAAGATGTAACATCACAACTAACAATCATCTTGAAGCACTGCATCGAGTTTTAAAATATTCTTATCTTGATGGATTGAAAAACAAGAGGGTTGATAGGTGCATTGCGAAGCTTATTAATATGGTGCAAGATAAATGGTTCCAGAGATTTATCAAAACAACAAAAGGGCCAAACACATCAAAGATCAACC